CACTGATTAATGCAGAAATATTTGAATACAAGGGGAATACAGTTGTTCTTTATGGTATCGATCTTACAAAGAAAAAGTAAGAAGTATTTTTATGGGTCTTGTAGGATTTGGGGCCCCAAATCAGTGGCAGGAAACCAGCAGCTTTCATTTTCACATTTTTAGGTACACAAAGCAAGGAATATTTTCTCCTAAATATAAGTTCAATGAGAGATGATTATAGCTAAGCAGGCATATCAAAAATAAGAGTTTTTCAGAAACTGTCCTCTCCTCTCATCTATTTTCTAGCCAAACTCCAGCAGGGAATCTGTACATTTGTAGATGCAAATGAGTTAGTGCTTGTTTCATTAAATGTTGTAGCCAAGAATTAATTGAGACTCTGTTGGTGCAGTCAGCCACACATTTCCATCTATTTCTCAACTCTGACCTAGTTGCAGCTTCATTGAGCAATAGTATAAATTATTTCCCATGCAAATGAGGTAAATCCTGAGCTCATTTAACAGAAGCACTAATTGAGCATCAGCTGGTTCACTGAACAGCAAAATACAGGTGGAACCTGGCTCAGAAATCACCCCTTCTTAAGTTTTTTTCAATGGATCCGTTTTGTTCCACTCCTAACTTTACATCCAGGGTCACATTTGATCTTCTTGCTGCGTACCGCTGACAAATTCACTTTCTTACTCAGCGACATAAGTGAGGGATCGCTCTGTTGTCACTGGCTCAGCTTAACAAGCACAAACTAATTCAATTAAGTGTGCTCAACTGTCCGATGTCAGTGAGGCTTTTCCAAGTTAAAGATAATATAAGTATTTTTATTTTAGAATTGGAACTGAAAACAACGTATTTGACAGTAATATCTTAAGTTAAATCATCCTAGCAGTTTAGAGGTGAGAGGAGAGTCATTCATTTTACAGAGGAGGAAAAGAAAGATCAGGATCATGGCTGACTGTTTCAGACAGAGGCAGGATTTGAACTCAGACCTTGAGACTTGGGCATCAGCGTTCTCCATAACCATGGGTCTTAATCTAGATGAGCAAGAGATTGGCATAAGGAGATGTGTATATATAGAAATTCCCAGGCCTTACCATAGACTGATTGGAAAAGAATCTCCAGGGGTCGCCTATGACTTGATATTAGCTTGAGTTTTAGGTCATTTGTTTACAGCTTATTTCTATCATGGTAGCTTTGGCAGGCTTGACTCTAATACTAAAGTTTTACAGTAAGGATTGTACATTACTTTCTATTAACCATTGACACTCTTCTTTCAGTAGCATAATGAGACTCGATGTTCATAATAATTACCCTGAGGTTCTGAGTCATACTGAATGAAGTGTGTTCTTTTTCCTTTCCTTTTCTTTCCTTTCCTTTCCTTTCCTTTCCTTTCCTTTCCTTTCCTTTCCTTTCCTTTCTTTTCTTTTCTTTTCTTTTCTTTTCTTTTCTTTTCTTTTCTTTTCTTTTCTTTTCTTTTCTGTTGTAGCTCCTTAAAGACCCTTCTTCCTAGTATGGTTTTAGGTTTAATATGGTTCATTTGAAAATGGAATAAAAAAGGAACTTTATTAGCCAGAATATTGGAAACTTGGTAAAAAGCAAATTAAAGTTTACTCTAAAGTAATTTCCTTATGTGTCTACACTATTTAATGGTTCTGAAAAAGTGTTACCATATGTTGTCAAGTACCAGAAAACTTGCAACTATAGAACCCACTCTGATTTACGTTGTTTTTGGCCAAAGGCCATGGAAGACTTAGAAAGTAGGGTCTAGGTACAAGACAATCTTTTAAATACATGTGAAGGTTAAAGCAGGCAAGGTTAGGGTATATTTGAATATGAAAATGGGTCATGCCTGACAGGTGCTATTATTAAAAAGAACAATTAGACTATCATATCACTAGGCTGTTTCTGAAGTTCAACATCTGTATCAAATGGCAGTAAATAAAATAAGTAGTCTAGGTTTGTCTGAATGGTTTCCACAGTGGGAAAAAAATTTTGAAATGGGCAATTAAACATTGCATATTTTAATTCCTGCCTACCAGTCGGCGAACGTGCTCAGGCACGCCCACCCTCCCACCTCTGGATTTTAATCCAAATGGTCAAAGACAGATAATTGCATATGTTTCAACATTTAGAAAATATATCCTGCAGGAGCACCTGGGTGGCTCAGTCCGCTGAGTGACTCTTGATTTTAGCTTAGGTCATGATCTCACAGTTTGTGGGTTCATTGCTCTGTAGGGCTCTGCACTGATGGTGCTTAGCCTGCCCTCTCTCTTCCTCACTCTCTTAAAATGAATAAATAAGCTTTAAACTTATATATATATCCTGCAGAGCTATCCATTATCACAGTGTTAGGATACATCTGCCATTATTCCATGAAAGGATTATATTTTAACATTTCCACATGTGTAAAGTAAAACCCCATTCTGATGATATACAAGGCCCACATATACCACTGTCATCAATTTTTTAATTTTCCTCAGACTACTTATTATTCATTATACTAGTCCTCACAAGGGTATACTTGAAGGGCATAATTGTTTTCTAATTCACAAAAATGATCGTCATCTGGAATGTTCTACCACAGAGCCTTAGAGTCCTAGAGTTAAACGGAGAATATCCCCTCAGTCACATCCCTGACAGGAGGCCGCGTCCTTAGCTGGCCAGTGAAAGGTTAGGGGGAAGAAACCTTCCTGTTCTGTACTGAGAGATGTGAGATTTAAACACAGAGTTATAATTACAGGACTTACTTACATATTTTTAAGAATGTATTTTTAAATGTTAAACTATCTTGATGACTAAAAAAAAAAAATCATTTTAGTTTGTTTATTAAAAAAAGAATTAATTAATATACTGCCTCAGTAACTTGTTTACAGCACAACTGTATAATTAGGCCCTAAATCAGCAGTGTCACTGTTACCATCTGAATGGAACATCATTTTGCCAATTAGTAGATGATGCATAATAATGTCAAATACACGATGTTACTCGATTTTTAATTAATTTTGGAGCCAGGGTGCTCATGTATCAAACACAACTGTGTCCTCTCTCTTAGAAATTTGGATATGTGTAAACATAATTTATGTTCATTAAAAATGCAAGACTGTCTCACAATGTGCAGCATGAAATGTTGAAAGGTGAAATCTAAAAACAAAATGCCTCCTGATGAAGATGTACTTTAATAATTGCCATCCCACATTTCTTTTGGTTGCTTTCAGTGCCTGTTGTGGCGCCAACAAACATCAACGGAGGTGGAGGAAGTCGTTCGGAACTCGTCATTACGTGGGAGGTAATTTTCTGTCCAACTGAGTTATTTTGAAAGAAAAAGATTTAGCTGGCCAGGAAGAATACTGAAAAACAAAAAGATTTATTTGATCACTACGGAGAATATATAAAAATACATAGTATAAAAGACTCCCCATGATGAATTACTTAGAGGAGGTATTGGAAACTCTTCTTATTTCTACTCAAGTGAGAAAGGATAACGGACTCAACACAATTCTCTCCCACATATAAGAAAAACAACTTCAATGTCTATTTCAGGTTTGTCAGTAGCATTTTAATTATTACTTGAGGGACTAGACATTATTGTGTTTATTGTCTCTGGGACTATTGTGCACGAGTTAGACTCTGTAGCGTGCAAGTAGAAAGTTCTTTTCCTATCACTGTTCTTTAAGGCCTTCCCTGCATCTAGATAAAAGCTTGAGCAAATGGTGTAGCTTTTGTGATTATTATCCTTATGAATTAACATATGGGCTCATTTTTATACTTGTTATAAATTTCAGCCTGGTTTATTACCATAAACTTTAGACTTTCCTCCAACGTAACGTTTCTTGTTTCTGGTAGCTTGGGTTTGCCTCAACCTAGGGCTTCTACGGTGTGAAAGGCAATGTAGTGTCAGATCTTTACCTATTCCCCATTCTGCTGTTGAATTTCTCCTTCCTCATTCACTGTTACCTCTTGCTTCTCCAGAGTTATAGTGGGTTTGGGCTGGGAGAAGAGGAAAAGTACTGAAAAGATCCTGACTGCTGGTACACTTGTAATTTGATTTTGGTGTATTCCAAAAGTGGCAAATGACCAGATGCTGTTATTTTTTTATTAAGTTTTTAATTTTAAGTCCAGTGTAGTTAACATACAATGGGATATTAGTTACAGGTGTACAATGTAGTGACATTAATATAGAGCACATTATTTAGTGCCCATCATGAGAAGTGTGCTCTTCAATCCCCATCACCTGTTTCACCGCCCCCCCCCCCC